CACGGGGGGTTAAAATTCGAAAAAACCTACAAAAATTTTCCTCGAACAAAAAAAAAAAAAAAAAAAAAAAAAATCTGTAACGTATAAATAGTCATGTACTGTAGTTTCCTGTTACTTGAGATCTTCATCATTTAATAGGTACGTAGGTATGAACTAGGCAATGAAGACATAATCTAAATAACCGTGTCGTTTCTTTTTTGTTCTAAGGATAGAATAAGACGGTCCTGATTTTGAGTATTATCGACACTTGAAAATTCCTTCCTTCGTCGCACACACGCTCGTCGTATTCGAGACTTAATACTTTTCAAGCTCGTCTATGCAAGCGGCCGTTGGCATCAGCGTGTCGTAGCCAGCGGCTCACATCGCATTGTAGTTAACACCATGTAAATTGATTGGCATTGTAGTACTGGGCAACGCGTAATCCGTATGCCTGCTATCGATGTAACCGCTTAACATCGTATGAGGGCTATGAGTGGTCAGCATGGTATGCGTGCTGTGGGTATTGTGTGTACTGTGCGGAGTGGTGGGAGGTCCCATCGGCGTTGGGCTCTGCGAATTAACCGGCTGCGCGGACGGGGCTGGCGGCGGCGAGGAATTCACTTCTTGCTTGACCCTTGATTTCAAGCTCGGCCGGTTGTTCGGGTAACCACGCTTTTTGTATTCCAGCCATAGTGTTCGATTGTTCACGCCGAACATCCTGGCCGCTTTACAGAAACCTATGCCGCCGTATCGAACGGCGTCTAACGCTCTGATAAAGTTCTCGTCCGCCTGCGGGTTTGTCGATCGTTTCCTCTTAATTGCGGTCTGCGGACTGGCGCAGGGACTCTGGCAGTTACTCGGGCACTGTGTCGACGGTGTCGGGCCACTGGACGACGCGTGCTGCAACGTCCCGTGCGAAGAGTTCGAGTAATTCGTCAGGGCGCAACTGGAACCAGTCGTGCTGGTCCCAGAGTACTGATCGCTCATGGTCGAGGAAGCTGTTATTTCGGGCGTGGTAAAAGCTGATGACGCTTGGATCGACAGATTCGTTTGACACGAGGACAGAGCGAAACGTGGATATGTATGCTCCATAATAGTCCATTGCAATCCTGTGGAACAGACCGGTTCATACTTTGGTCAGAGCACAGGAATATATCATTTCGTTTGTTGGCTGTATGTATGGTTTCATATTAGCGCAACGATAAGTACTAATTACGTGTCTGTTATATATATATATATATATGTATGTATATATGTATATACTTATGAAACGTGTATGCTTTCCTTTTTCGAATGAAATACGAGATCGAGTAAACGAATTTTTTTAATAGAGAAAAAAGAAATTAAAGTTATTAATGTAATATAATAAAATAGTGATTATTATAATGTATCTGATTATTATAAATGTATTGTTCAAATACATATATATATATAGATAAATATATCGAAATCTGGTAGCGATAATGCATTCGTATGATTATAATAAACGGAAAAGGCAATTCGGCAATAATTGACTTGATCAAAGTAATTAAAATTATAGAATCGGAAGAAGATATCTAATTCAAATGAAAAAATGTATTGCTTTATGCTACTATGTGTGTAGGAAAATAAAATAAAGATGCTAAGCTGTAAGCAGAAAAAGAATGGAAAAATATTTGTAAAAAATCTGTGTGAAAATAATGGTATACATATGGGAATATTAAGAACAGAATATCGTCGCATGGCACAGATACATTTTAAAGCACATTTGTCGTTCATATTTTGTACTTTATAAGAAACTGTGTACAATTTTTTAATTAAAACGAATTAAAGGACAGAGTAAGGCACACATACACACTCAACAATGTTTAAGGCCCGATTTTACTGTCCTCTAAAAGAACATTATACATTGTGTGCTATGTATCTGTGTACCATGATGAATTTCATGAATGAGAGATTAGCCATAGAAGTTTATACACTACTAATTATCCTTTTTTTTTTTCCTCTTAACTTTCGCTCTATTTTCATGTCAAACGTCTGTTGATTATCCTTGTGCAGTACATTTAAACGCATCTGTGCCAGCATATAATGTGTGTATCATTTTGTTTGCATGCAATTTCAATACCCACCACGTTCGCTATAGATCGTGTTTCATTACTAAACTACTAAGATATTTGTGTGAGAGACAGATACATCATGCATATTTAAAATTGAATTATTGCCGCTTGTGCATAATTAAAGACAAAATTTACCAAATGTGTATATTTGGCAAAGAGTGAAACCGTATTTGAAATATAAGCATTTCTTTCTTTTCCATACAATCTGTAACATCTAATTAACAATTGTCTTGACTTTTAGACAATACATATACATATACATACACAAATACATGTACATATACATATACAAATACATATCTCTACATGTAATTAAATTAGATTGTAGTATATTATATATCATACTTATATCATGTATCAAAAGTATGTTATATTTTTAGCATTATATTTAGAATTGCCGCTTATGAGAAAACCTAAAGATAACTTTTCACTGAATATACTTGAATGTGTACAACTATTCTTTATATTATTTTATATATTAATAATATAAAAATATAATATATTTGAATATATATTCTAAAATAACCTCAAACTAATTGCAGACATTTAGGAAAGTTACTTACCTTGATGTGCAGGTGGTTGTGAAGAAACTGAACTTTGTGTCACATTCCCTCCTGATTGTTGACTCATATCTTGTATTGAACCATCATTTTGTGCTGGTGTTGCTGCTGAACTATTATCCATGTTACTCATCTAAAACACATTAAATCACAGTTGCATACTTTAAAATATGTAAAAATTAATAACAAAATTTTACTGTATAAATACAATTTTATCATCTTTGCATATAAACATTTTGCGAATAATAATATTTAAATACTTTAAATATACTTACAATTGATATTTGATCCTCATCAATGCTGCCTTGAGATTCAGTATTGGTATTAACAGGTCTCCTTAGATTTTCGTTACCTTCTTGCGAAACTATCAATGGTTCTGGTTTTACAATGTTAGTGGCAACTAAAGTGATTTCATTCATTTCTTCTGGTTTTTCACCAGATCCAGATGTTGACCCTGTGGATGATTTCCTTAATCTCTTCCTACGAAAAGATGGCGACAATGGAGAAGGAGTTGGCGAACAAGATTCCCCACGATCTCCTCCTTCAGGCTCACTGGTGCCACGTGGCCATTTGGTTAATGAAGCAGTGTTCATTTCTGCGAGTGCTTTTATTTTTAAACTTTCTGCAGTCTACGCAACGAAGCCAAGAAAAATTATATCATTACTATTCTAACAGATATGAAAATTATGAATCTTCAAATATATCAAGTACCTTTATAATAGATGGTAGCTGATCCTCTGATATGTTTACTTCGCCATAATACATAAAGTCAACCATAATTTTCAAATCTGAGAATTTCACATCCTTTAATATGACAATCGGATGTTGACACGGATTCACAGTAAATAATGACTGGAAATATGTGCTGCACGCAGACAAAACAACTTTGTGCGCCTGAAGTTGTTTGCCTTCAGCAGCCAACGTAACATCCACCAATGTCTCATTGTTCAATAAATTCGAGAACACCGAAATGAAATTTGGCTGATGATAGTTCCATCGCAGACAGAACTGTTGCATCGACATTGCAGCAAGCGATCAAGTAACTTCCAAACACTGCAATTGTACCTGAAAAACCATTGACCCCTTGTTACATTCACAGAACAGCTCTCTTAACACAAAAAAAGAAACCGTTATGTACCATAGGCAAGATTCATTTCTCGTGATTTTCAAAACCGGAGAACAAAACATTTTAAATAAATTTCACGCGAAGAAAAAAAAGAAAAGAAAAAAAAGAAAAAAAAAAAAAGAAACTAGACTCTCACGATATAATAAAATTATCGACAATGCGATAGTTCATGCTAGTAATCGTAAACATTAAAATTGTCGTCAGAACGCGCAGAGAACGAAGAAAATACATCGATCAACTCGCTAAATGAAAACAATTTGATCGTTGTCGCTGTACGATTGAACGAGCCACTCGGCGACGACTAAGAACTGCGATCGAATTCACGAAACTCGTATCCCGGTTAGGCGATTTGTCATTTCTGGAAAACGTGTTAATCATTCGCGAAACTGCCGATACTTCTCGCGTCGTAAAGAGTATTTCCGAAGGAAATGAAATAAATGAAAGGCCGCTCAACAATACGGATACAATGGCTTCACGCACAATAAATATAGACTCGCGTGGAGAGAGAGAAAAGGCGTACGAGAGCGTAATTACTTACTCTGAATCGAAACGAGAATTCCCCCGAATGATGACGACGATAGTTGACGAGGTATCTACTGGCTGGCACGACGCACTTCGGGATTCGTTGTTTCCGTTGTTTGTTAGAAAAAACAAAGTCCGCTCGGCGCTGCCATGAATTCGATGAGATTTCCAACACAACAGGCTAAACGGTGACGCTTGTGTAATTCACAAATGACGTCATGAACGAGAAATTAACGTTCCACGTATGGTGCGCGGCAAACACCACGGGAATCACATTCGACAGATATGTTGACGTCGCTGGCAAATTTCTCGTGTAATCGACAAATACCGAGATCTTATCAACGTGCGTCCTTAGAAAATTTAACTTGATCAATATAACAGCCGACTCGGAGTGACATCTATCGAGAATTTGACAAGAACTATGTTTCTTACACCTTTTCAAACATCTGTGCCTTCTTTTTTTTTTTTTGCCTTTTCTCCCTTTTCTTTTAGAGAGCTTTGTATATCTTTAAACGACAAGATAGCGTACACCAATTATGAAAATAAGAACAGGTGATGAGGAATCGGAATCTTCGCCTTTAGCATCGGAGAAGTGGAATCATTTCAAGTGTGAAATCCTTTGAAAATTTTGAATTTCTAAATTCTGACGAGTATCGAATGTCACGGATTATTTATGAGCAATGTGTCTTAACAACAATAGGGCAGATAATCTTAAATGATAGGATTATGAGAAATCACAAGTGCATGTGTGCATATGCATATACGTATATATTACCATATACTAAGAATAGAATAGACTGGATATTAAAGGAAGCTTTGTGTCTCAGGATCTGAAATACCGACCAGGGAAAAAAATAACTGGTTTTTAGCGCACTTTAGCTTAAACAATGATGAATTGGGGAACTACATTAAGTAAAACGATCGAAATTGATCAATCAGTAAATGCAGCAGAAATATGATTTTTGAAATCTATTAAACCTGAACTAAGAAAACGATTAGTTTATGTAATTTGTATCTAACGGATTATTGCATTATTCTATTTGAAACTGTAATAACTCTGTCTGTATATAATTGAAACAATCCGTGGTTTATTGAAATTATAATTATTTTACTCCATTGCTATATAAACACATTCGACAGTACACAATGAAAAAACGTTCCGCCTTTTTTACATAATATGACGAAAATTCTATAATTAATATAAATTAAATAAATAAGAAACAGATTGTTAGTTCCACGTCAGACAATAATAGAGACAATACTTTGCTACCTAATAGTCACCAACATTTTGTACGTGTATCTATAAGTGTGTACAGATCAATTCAGAATTGAAGCAACAGTGAAGCGTGTTAATTGTCACCGTTTAACACACACATTCTCTCTCTCTTTCTCTTTCCCCCCATCTTGAGAAATTCGTGCGCTTTTTTGCAAATCGTATTCGTTGTACTCTAGATCGAAACAAAGAGAAAGAACGGAAAAACAATTGTTTAAATACGTCGTCGGTGTCGGTTTGCCAGAAGAGTAACATATTCATAAATAATACATTTTTGAGATGTCTACAAAAATTAATTCTAAAAACTATTCATTAAGATTGAAATATCGTAATTACTCAATGAAATTATAACAAGAATAATATTTAAAAAAATATTTTAATCTCTTTTTTTTTAATAGTATCACTTAACGTATATACTCAAAATTTAAAGATTATTATATAAATTACAAAAGAAACTCAATTATTTTTTTGCTATGTATCTATAATAATCTGGTATTTTCTCTACTAATATAATTTCTTATATCAAATAAATTTGATAAACCCCACTTTTGTTAATTTCATTACTCTTCTAACAAACACTGATTACATATAATTATGTACATACAGGGTGTTTCGCACCTTATCAGCAAAACTAGGAGCATAATCTACAAGTGAAAACAAGAAAAAAATATTACGTAAAGTTTGTTTATAAACGCTTCCTCACTAAGTTGTAGGTAAATACTGAACATAACATGAATATATACAGTGAAGTTAAACATATGAACATGTATGTAACTATTTGAAGTTTGATAAAATTGTCCGTATTTACTTTGTCTTTGCCTACTGGTATGTAAAAAACATTGAAAAATTTTAAATTCTCATTTTAAAATGACTATCTTCTGATGTGAGCTTACTTATTATCAAACTTTGAATTCGCTGTTACGCACGTATTCACATTACATTCAACAATAACATTTACTTATAACTCTGTAACAAAGCATTTACAAACAAACTTTACATACAATTTTTTTCTTGTTTTCGCTTGTACATTACGCTTTTAAAATTTGGCCAGTAAAGTGTGGATACACTCTCTGTATAAGTATATATGTGTATTGAGGTATATTGTATTAACAATAAATCTGAAAATTGGTAGAAAGAAAGGTGCGTGTTGTTCTAGATAATTGTTCGAGGAATTGAGCATTAGAATCAGAACCGTTAAAAAAACGATTCGCGTTACAAGAACAAGAATTTCTAGTTTTTAAGACCTCCTAACTCGCAAATGGACCCTTGATTTTGGGTTATATTCTTATTGCTACCTAATAGTATTAATTTACATTGAGAGTCTCATATAACAATTTCATATTTTCATAATTTTGATATGATATTATATTTATAAATTTGATTTTTACCCCCAATTGCATTTATTATGTTAAAATTACATTTATCTCGTTAACCAATTTGCAAGAACAAAAGTTGTTTGTTACTTCACGTTAGTAATATGCAACTCTCGACCATTTTTACAATAAACTTTCCACAAAGGATAGCTTAAATTAGTCGAATATATAAGACAAATAAGGAATATAAAAATTATTGTGCGTTGATTGTGATGCGCTTTGTTAATTCGGACACGCTTTTAAGTTGCTCAAGTGCCATTAGTAACTGAACCATACTTGAAAAAAGAAAAAAATCATGTGGTTAAAGTAAAATAAAAACAATTGCTATACAGAGAAACAATATCATCAAAAAGAATTATTATGGCATTATTACAAAGAAATTTAATATCACCACGAAATGCCCGTTTTGATGTTTAGAAATTTGTTTCTTTTGCAATGCAGCATGATACTGTAAAAATATTGTGCAAAAAATTGAACACTCACAGAGAGAATTATATCTGTACAGAATTGAAATGTATGAGAAGTGTGCAAAATATTGAATAGCAGAGAATTTTTCTCATTGCATTAAACGAGAAAAAGATTTATGCATCTGTCTATTATTAATAACATTTAATCATCAACACATTTTGCTCGAGGAGAAATTTTCTGCCCTTGTTTTTTATTAAAATAGGCAACAAAGATTTTAGTGTCGCCTTTCTCGTTTGAAAAGTTAGTGTTATAAAATAAAAATGATCACACAGATGCATAAATATCTTTCGGACATCCGAAATGTTTCAATTTACTAGGCTTTCGCTGCTAGGCCGTGGTTTAATAACCAGACTCTGTAAGGCTCTTATTTCGTTTTCAGTGAGATTTGGAGGTCCGAACAGAAACTCCCTATGAGAACTTGGATTTGATAGAAGGTCCTGCATGTTCTCGTTAGTTAGCACCAAGTAATGTAGAGAGGTTTGTGTTAAATTTACTTTCCTAGCTAACGTCCCGGTAATATGAACATCGTCGATCCAGAAGTATGGTTCTTTCTGTGCCTCACGATACAAAAGGAATACGCTATCAGGGGAATAGAGTATAGCCCATCCGGCACAATATGCAGGATAATGTCTACCAGGATATTCTTGAGGGGAGACTCTCCATTTGGAACGCCACGATCTCTTCACGGTACCCGTGGACAGAAGATCGCATAAGATCAATCGTCTGGCTCCCCATGGTGATAGATCACGCGTCAAAAAATCCAACATGGCAGGTATATGAACAAAAACATCGTCATCTAATTTTAATATATATTTGGCACCTGGAACAGGAAAGGAGATAAACATTCTCATAAAGGACATACTAGATTTTACGATTATGAAGATTTTGAAAAGTTGAAACACGTACAATATTATGACAAATTATTGCTCGGTACTCAACAGTTTGAAAGGAGGATGTCTCGAATCATTCTTTTAAATATTAACTTACTTGGACAATGATACGTAGCCCATTTCAATGCCATCACATGCTTGTAAGTCATGTTTCTGTAGGCATCGAGAAAGTTGCCTTGTATCAAATCTTTGTATTTTTTGTTTTCTTCTTCCAGCATTGTCTGATACTCGTCAGACGAGCCGACGAAAAAGAGGAGTTCCACGTCTGGAGATTGCTGACCCCATGTCTCCCGGACCACATTTCTCTTGATAAAGTTCTCGGGTGCCGAGTGAACCAGCATCAGCAACAACGGGTGAGTCCGGTTACACGGGTCATTGTTGATCGTGAACCGGAAGTCCTTTATGTCTATCAACGTGGATTTGTCACCGAACGGAAGTTCGTGCAATAAATACGGCTGCGGGGAGGGCGTCACGTTCCCGGGAAGGATTAGCAGATATCCTGGTGCCGACGCGCTGCTGTACGGCGTCGGTGAACCGGAGCTGTCGATGTGAAGCCAGAAGGAGAAGCATCCAGTCAGTGCCAAGGCGACCACGAAAATCAGAGTGTAAGGCGACGTACCGGAGGCATGGAGTCGCCGCTTATCCAGCATACTAACGAGTCCCTTACATCATACACGTCTAAGTTCGGCTGAAAAACACAAACATTCGTATTAGATTTTATGTTTCTATCAGGATATTCTTATCTATATATTTTTACATTGTTTTATTTATAAATTTTCGCGGTATAAAATTTTTGGAACAATACGAAAGCACTACCGAATGATACGAAATTTAATATACTTAAACCTAGTTTAATTAGTACGTAAACATAGTAGTGCTGTGTAAAATTTTTTTTGTAGTTGTTATGCATTTTATGGCCATTGCAGCTGTCACATTATAGTCTTTCCCGTTAGAAATAAATAATATAGCAGAACAAATCATCCTCGTGAGGATTAACTGTTTCTTCCTGAAACATCTTATATATTTTTTATGTAATTTTATGTAATTCATTTGTATGTTCTGTAATATTTTTCCACAGATTCATTAGCTTCTAGAGTGAGCAGTCACGTGTAAGTTGCGGAGTATAACAGTAATTTCATTTTTGAAGCGGAATTTTTAATAGCTTGTAAGTAGTGATCGGATATCAAATATTAATCTTAATATTGTTAAACTATTGATAAAATAAAACAATCTCTTACAAATTGAATGATAAATTGAAAATCAAGGTATGAGAAATCTTGGAATTAACGTCGTATAATATAATAATACGCGTTGACTTTCGAGTTGGTCTACGTCGAGCCGAATGAAAGACAGTCGATTATCGATATTTCAGGCTATACCTAACGTTGGACTTCACTGGTAACATTCACTAATAAACGGCGAATATTTAGGGCCAGCCAAACGCTTCAAAGAGACGAAACTATGATAAAATTAAATGCCAAGCGACTTATAACAATTTAAATATATATGAATATTCTACTGACCGATGTTAACGAGTCATCTTTGATCTGACTCCAGATTAAAAGATCATTATCGTGCTTCAAACATACATGCTATTGTACACTTGTACAATTAGCATATAAACACATTACAAAACGTAAATAATACTACAAATACAGTTGGTATTAGTTCCTTTACGCTATACAACTACAATACATGATAACCTTTCAATAATTCAAGGACAGAGATGTTTCATACACGACTATATAATTCCAGTTAAAAACTTTTAACACATCCTGAATTTTCTGTGTAAATAATGTACAGAAAGATATGTAGACAAGTTAGGTCTTATTCCGTTGAATAATTTCCACCCTTCCATGACCTTGAGTAGTTTGAAAGTCGATGTTTAAAATGTACCCCGAATATATTGTTCAAATGTCAAAACAGATTAATTTTAAAGCAACATTCGAAATAATGAAATAATATGAATTTTTATAAATGATGCAACATTTCTACTTTTTTTTTTATTGTGCACATGTCTCATTATTATTGAAACAATTATTATTACAAGACATATTCATCTCTAAATATTCGATATACAGTGTATCGTTGAGAATTATTATAATTTGTAAAAGTAATACTGATTTTCGTATGAAAAGTCTTTTTGGCGCCATTTTTTTTCAATTCAAAATTCACATTGCTGCCTAGGTTCAAGCTAGATTGATTGTTATGTGTACGCAGACATAGAGATAATCGGCCATTAATCAAAAAATTAAGCATACTTCATCCCATAGGGTTTAACAGTTATATCTGGTTGACGCATCGCGACGTGGCAGTTTTCAATGGTCCTCAACGATTGAAATATCTTATTCAGGTTCTATATTTTTCCACATAAGATCAGTGTGATTCAGTAATGTTTTTTTGTTCTTTTCATATGGAAATCATTGTACACGTCAATAACTGTTGGAAACTGTTCAAAACGTATATATATTGGATATATATATATATACTTGGAACGTAAATTTAGATTTCTTGGAAAATATCTGGAAAGTAAGACTCTGCTTCTTACGATAAAAACATGGCGGTTGATTTATTTAACTAATTATACAAAACAATTTATGTAAGTATTAAAAAGATAATTACTCTTTTTTTTTTAAATTATACAAAATTATGTTTCGTTCTTTCGAGTGCTATCAATACTCATATTTAATAACATTTATAACAAAATCAATAATGATAAGTCAATTATGATAAAAAACTAATATCTTTTTGCACGTAAAATGAGTATAATAAATATTCCATTGTTTTCTAAAATATTCATACATAACTGATAATGGCTGATAACCATCCATGGTTAATTATTACATGGTTTTTAATTTTCAAATTGATTCTGCGCAGTTCATAACAAGTGTTGAAGATTATTGTATTTTTTTTTAAATATAAGACGCATAGTATTTTAAATTACCAACGATTGTAATATCTTAATTAAATTTTTATAAGTTATAAATTACCTCTGATTTTTAAAGATCGAAATAGATGAATAATTATTAATTAAAGGAATATTTTACAAAAAAAAAAAGCAAAACATCGTATTGGACGGAACTGTGCTACATAAACTGTACAGCGTCTAGAAAGTTCTTTAAAAACAAAAATCAACATTCCACAACTTTCGCTTTTGACACTCTCAAAACGTTCAAACTTATATTTCAACGTATGTAACATAAGATCGTAGCAACACGTCTTGTTTCCTAAACGCTTGTCTCTGTTCCCTCGAAACAAAGGAAACATTATAGGGCTGACTGGCCGCTTTACACGCTTCATTAATAAGTCACGGAGGAACTTGTTACACATCCTCAGGTCTCAACAGTTCGGTAGATAATTTATGAGACGATATACACAATTTTCCTTATTAATATTTTGCACGTACAAGTATTTCGATAAATCTCATCTAAATTTTTCAAATTTTTATCTCTATTTAGATATTTTTTAATAGAGTATATTATTTTAAATATATGTACGTGCACTGAATATATTAAACATGAGATTCTAATTGTCAAATATTATCATTACAATGTTACCATGCCAATATAACCCTAACATACGTTTCTAAATAAATCTTTTAATATACATCATCTTTTACAGAAAGCTAACTCATCTTCCCCATAAAGGATATATGCATGTACATAGAACGAAGGTGGTAATATGGTGCATAATTTATTATATTATATCTTTAATAAACTAATACTACATATATACTACATATATAATACACTATATTTTATTTAACACACATCTATCATTTTTTTCAGAGCGCTAATTTATCTTCTTGCAAGAACGTGCATACATACATAAAACAAAAAAAGCTTACTCGTGCAATATGTTCCGATGTAATCGTCGCTCAAACACTTCTGCCGTGGAACGAAAACAAAAACATCGTACTCCGAGACCGAAGAATCGAAAATCTGCCAACCGACGTGCAAGTATGCCAACGAAAAACAAAGCTGAGAACATCATACTTACAACTTACGTGCGATAAAGAGCAATGAAGGCGTTGATGCATCTGTCGCTTGGTCGAAAATCTTGTCTCACACATTCGGCACAGTTGACATTAAACGCCTTGACGTTACTGAAGCGTAGTGCGATCACAGGGAAATTTGAGGTTATGTTAAACGAACGTTAACAATAACGTCGTATTTAACGGCTGGCATATTAGTGTCGGGACAAGAGAGTGTAAACGCACGATCCCCAAAGGAAAGACCACATGAACGTCAACAGAACGTGGATATCTCGCGGTGTTCAGCAGCTCTGTTCCTTTTTTTCCTAACACCCTTCATTTTTCCCTTTCTCTTTATTTGTTTAATCGTACGCCTCTCTACACGGCCAAGATGGATCGAACCATGTGTAGAAAAATTCGCTAGGAAGTAGAACGACAATAAGAAGCCGTGGTCGGAGGGCGAAGTCGCGTTTGAGCCGCGAGTCGAGGATTAATGTGGTGTTGCCACTCCGCAGCTCTGCGCTGTTTACCGTGCGCACCCTCTTTAGTCCACCTTGCGCATCGCGTCGAGCGCGGGAAGTTCAAACGACAAACCCGTATTGATTCTCTCGTTGATATAATTTTTATCAAAACACCATGCGCGCGTATATTAAAAATCCACGTTACAATCTGTGCAATCTTTGGCACACGCGTTATTTTACGTAATAGAAAATAATTGTATGAAATTTTCAGGTATTCAAATATATGTGAAGTAGGAATCTAATTCTTATTAAATCACGGAGTCACGAGAAGAAGATTTAAGTAAAGATTAACGGGGTACGTATTAAAAATTATTTCTGTCTGTTTCGTTAAAAGCCAACGATACATTAATGCAATATTTCTCGAAATCAATTTGTAATTGATTTCTATATCTGTTTTCTTTTTGGTTGCTACTTCTTTCTACGTTAATTTTATGATTTTAATGAAAGAAATTTGGATTTTCATAGCATTATGATTTCTTTGCTGAGGTATGAAAGCTCTGCTTTATCTTCAATGACTTAAGATTGTAGTTTCTTTAAATAAAATTTTTGTATTTCTAAAAATCGTAAGTTTGTATCTTTAAGAAATAAATCGGACAAGATGAAAGAATATATCGTGTCTTTTATTTTAGGTTTAAGCTCTTTCAAAATAGCGTCGTTTAAAGAACAGAAGATTACAGTATAACATTCCTCATGAATTGATTCATTTCAATTTATACAATGGCGCGTAAGACCTTCTGGGGAACAAAAAATAAATCCTTGTTTATTTACTTATTTATATAAAAAAAAAATCTGGCGAAACCGTTCTGTTAAATTCGTGATTAAATGCTTTAAAGCGCTTCAAGCGCCGAACAAAAACACAGACGCAAAGTAGCGCTCGAAACGTTACAGGGCGAATCGATAGGAGGAGAAAAGCGTTAAGAAGGACGAAAACGCGCGCTTTACATCGCACGCACGGTTCGCGTGACAACTGAAAGCGGAGAGTAGATCCACACTTTCGAATATTACCGCGAACGAGCTTGAATCGCGACGAGTAGCCATAGGTGGCGCTCGTTGTTCGCGGCATGAATTGAATGGACGCGAGAAACTCAAGCGTCTGCAGCGCTATAGCCGCCTCTCCCTGGGGCGCATCCTGCGCATGCGTTGCACGTTTATTATCTTCTTTCTGTTCAAGTGCCATTTCATTGCATGCAGTGCAGTCTATAAAACAGAATGCGTTCTCGGTGGATCTCGAGTTTCCTATCACTTATCGTCATTCGTAGCGTATAAACATAACAGCACGCGGTCATTAACTTACAAATTGTTTACGTGTCGTTCGACACATGGGAAACTGCTGATATCGTGCACGAAATGCCAGTTTCCGCATTATAAAAAACACGATCGGGCCATTGTTAGCGTCGTAGTCGGGCTTTTCGGGATCGAATATATTCGCTGGACGGTTTCGCGCGAGCAAAAATGTCATGCAGCTACGCGGACGGTCTCTCGCAGTACGAAAACAAAGGAGTGCTGGGCCTGGAAGAGGTAAAAATCGTTTATTCACTGTTGCTCGTTTGGCGGGAGTCGGCCATCCGCGACGATTTTTTTAATCGTTCGCCCGCCCGATGCGTGAAAACTTCTGTCGCCTTTTTTTTCTCTCCTCCTTTTCCTCCTCTCCCTCCTCTCCTCCCCCCTCCTCCTTCTCTTATCTTTCCTTTTTCTCCTTTTTCTCTCTCTCTATCTTTTTTTCTTTTTTTCTTTACAGAGATACGACAGCGTCGAGACGTTGCGACTGAAGTGTGGCCTTCTAGCCGATTGGATACAGGCGGCACGGCACGTAGTCGTTCACACCGGCGCCGGCATCAGCACTGCTGCGGGCATTCCGGATTTTCGGTGATTATCATTTGTAATTTTTCGCTCAAATCCCCACCCTACTTCTATCTACCTTCATCCCCTCCCACGATCGCCAGCACGATCGGCCCCTCGCAATTCCCATCTCTGTTTAATGCTCGAAAGCGCCACTGGGCCAATTCTTTTAAATTAATCGAGCGGGAATAACGTAGCCGCGAAGAAACGGCCGAAATATTTCCCTTTGATCGCGCGTCCACCATTGTTGAGCGCTCACAATGCTCTCTCTCTCTCACCGTGATCTATCCCGAAACGCTGATTAATCCACGAAATTAACCAGAAACCATCGAACTAACTCTGATTTTCGACGTGAATTAAACGTGGAAATAAGATGACGATTGAAGGATATATGTCATTTTTTTGTTTTTTTATTCTGCGTAGAATAATACGAATTAATTTAATTTTAATAAGTCGTAACTCATTATTCCATACAGTATATGACATACTTGTCCTCTAAAAATATTGCTTGTAAATAAATAATTTTCTTTCTAATCGAAATATTCCATTCTATTTTTTCATTATATTTATATATATTTCTAATGTATATGTATATGTATTTTATATATTGTATATAGGTATACTATATTTTTTGCTTTGTTGTTTTATGATTATAACAGATGAAGGATAGAAGAAAATGATGGTGTTGTATAACTTTTAAAATAATTTACTGTTATTTGTGAAATCACTTTATAATGTTTTGTAATTTAATGTCATTTGTTGATCAACTTATGAAAATAAATCATCTCTTTGAATATTAGTCCTAGATATTAATCTAGATAATAAAATGAGAGTTGATCAATTTGAGAGATTTATATGAAAACGTATTGTCTGATTTCATTGTTGGACTTTTCTAATTTGTACATGTTATGTATACGTACGTGGTTTGTTAGAGGGACAAATGGAGTATGGACATTAGAGCAGAAAGGTTTGAAGCCTACAATGAATATTTCCTTTGACGAAGCAATTCCTACAAAAACACACATGGCATTGAAAAAATTAGTAGATGCTAGTGAGTACAATTATGATACTACAATTCGACCATGCATCTAGAAAAGCTTCTAATCAAAATTGTTTTCCCTCCAGAAAAAGTCAAATTTATTATAAGTCAGAATATTGATGGCTTGCATCTTCGATCTGGGGTACAGAGACAGCATCTTGCAGAATTACACGGAAATATGTTTACTGAACAGTGTGATAAATGTGGAAGGTTGGTATTCTTTCACCAAAACAGATTTTACAATTATATTTCACAATTATAAATTCATAATGTATACTATGTTCTTTGTCATTTCCCTTCAATATTCACGTAGGCAATTCATTCGGAATTTCGCAACTAAAAGCGTTGGGAAAAAGTCTCTTGACACTGTGTGCAGATCTGAGCAAATTGGCGGTCGTCCGTGCCGTGGACGCATGCACGATACTATTCTTGATTGGGAACACAACCTGCCAGACAGTGATTTAACATTGTCCGACTTACACTCTAGGTAAAGCGATAAGAATCTGTAAAACAGCAGAAAATTTTTTTTATATTACGATGTTTATATTATGACAAAAGTAAATCTCGAGGCACTGTACAAAATTTCTAAAAACAAAAGTTTGCTACTCTTTGCGAATAGATAAAGAGAAGAGTGCCTAACGATCGTTGATGTATTAAAGATTTAGATAAACAATTCATTGATCTGAAAAATTCTTGTGTTGATGTCTCAGGTTTTAGATAACAATTATTTATGACGAGTTATCTTGTTCGATAATGTTGTTATGGGGAAATTTATTAAATGAAAATATACGCGTTTACAGTGTCGCAGATTTAAGTATATGTCTTGGAACAACGCTTCAGATTATCCCGAGCGGTAATTTACCTCTGTACACCAAAAAGTACGGAGGTCGACTTGTTATATGTAATCTGCAATCTACGAAACACGTAAGATAATATTTTTACCTTTCAAGTTAACAAAACTTTTACTCCAAATTCTTAACAACTAATCCATTAACAATCTAAGGACGTATTTGTGTAAATTATTGTAGCATGATTTGTGGTCAGTATGTTATCTGTTCGTGTAAGAGAATTACCAGGATTAAAAAACAAAGGATATCGTTTTAGGATAAAAAGGCAGACTTAATTATCAATGGAAATGTTGACGAGGTAATGATCAGCGTTATGAAAAAGCTAGGGCTAGAGATACCCGAATACGAGAGCACAATGGATCCCACGCGTAATTCTGACACAACGTCCAAGGAAATGGACTGGACGATACCAACGAGCAGAATAAAAGAAATGAACGTGTTGTACAAGAAGGTGTGCAAACCGATGAGAAGGAAACGAAAGACGTTCATGTATGAGAGAGAGAGAACTGATACGAAACGGGAGACAAAGACAAAGAAGCAGGCGTTCACGATAAAACAGGACATAAAAACAGAGGATACGATGAATACAGCAAACCAGGTTTGCAACAACGCGGTTGTCCCGGTGGATGTAAGCAGTAACGCGATGAAAATCGAGGACGAGCTGAAAGACGTGGAACCGTTCGATTTCACGACAAACATGACTCAACCAGATCCTGGGTTAGAAGTGAACGACATACTGTAGCATGATTTCAGTAGGTGGTGATTCAACGACCTAATACTCCTATTAATATTCAGTCTCTGTTAAATTTATTTACGAGTGCATATAGAATGGATGTTATCTGTATGTGACGAATGCCTAAAAAAAAAAAGTGCTATTGATTTGTTTATATGAAAAAGACAAAAGAAAACAAAAAAACAAAAAAAAAAAAAAAATTAAGAAAAAATAAGAATATAAGTTTATCAACCGGTAAACCGCTTTTATCGTCAAATCAGAAAGCGCTGCAATACGTGTACATATATGTAGTAGTACTTTCGTAATCGCTTCCATGTTCTGTCCGCTTTTTCATTGCCAGTAGTTCCCTCTTCTTAATCAAAGAAGATCAAGAGTTTTTCCAGTGATCTAATGTGTATCATACTCTATACATATATGCATGCACATCATGTTTTCCTCCATTATGATACATTAAACGTTAAGTACTTAAGATGATTTATTTAGAATCGTTTGTAAGATGTTTGGGCAAAGATTTTTCTAGTACGGCGCGCTAATTATGAAATGATCCTTCTTCAGATGGGATCATGGATTGATCGTTGAGGAACGCAGCTATAACGTGTTACGTTCAAATGCGTTCAATTCGTATATATATATATATACTGTTCGTGTTTTTCACAGAAAGCGAAATGAAACGTGACCAAAAATTTCTCCCAATACGGCTGTTTGTAATCCACGAAGCGATTATCGGAAGATCCGCAGATGTTTTAAATTGCACCGGAATAATAAATACTCGTTGCTACTTTGAACGTTTTAAGATTGAAAATCTTTAATAGAAAGCTCCATACGAGCCTCGGTGTTGTTTGATCGAATCCAATAGTTAAGTGTCTCTTGTTAAACGCACATACGTTTGTATAATCGTGATAGAGTGACTAAAAGCGTTTTGTAGGTAAATGTTGACACGGATAATGGGACCGCGAATGTTACTCCCTCGACAATATGTCTCCCGAGTGAGTTGAAAAGCGGAAGTGCAAAGATTTGAGAGAGAGTGAGAGTGAGAAAGCGAGCGCGCGCAAGAACGAAAGAGAGAGAGAGAGAGAGAGATAAAAAAAAGAAGTATGGAAATGCAAGCGAGTCTTTCTTATATCGGCATTCGACGCTATTTTATCAATAGCGTTTTATAGTAGAACGCAAATTAGTGAAATGTGTAATATTTATATGTAAATAGTGATATATATGCTTGGTTGCTCTTAATAATTTATTACTTTAATTGATATTATTTACTGGACGTTACTATTAGTGAAATATTATAGCATTCGACGGGAAATAAAAATTGTGGAAAGGGCTTCGTCTACTCTAATTATTCCCTGCTGCGTTTAGAAATAATTAGAATAGAAAGAGAAAGGAGCCGTGAATTTTTTTTTCATTTTGACATGGTATATTCTTATTCATAGGCAAAGTTTAAACAAGAATACAACATAATTATGTACACGTGCGCTACAAATAGCATTATTCTTTTTTTTAACAAATCAGAAAAATGTCATTAAAAATATTCGAACGTATTTTACCTTTTTTTAATAAATAGATCCTTTTGTTTTTTTTTTTTTTTTTTTTTTTCGTTTGCCTAGATTTCGCTGACACGTTGTGCTGCATCGACGTGGAGGCTTGAAACAGCGTTTTCTGTTTTCGTATTGCAACTTCCTCTCTCAGTCGTCAATATTTTCACTTTTTGTTTCTTTCTTTCAAACGTTCATCCGGACAATGTACGTTCAGTATTCAAAATATTAACAACGAATAAATTAATCTAATTTCGAATGAAATGAACTGTTCGAGAATCATTTCATCAACAATACATAGTGTAGAGTAAATTTCGCTAAATTTAAAAAATATAATAATTTTCAACAACGATTCGAGAAAAAAGAAACAGCCAGTTTCAGAATAAAATTATCGGGGTGTCCTTCGTGGCAAAAGAAAACTAACGTATCAAATACATATTTGATTTCTGATGCATAACGAAAAAAAAAACAAAAAAGAATACAAGAGACATTTCTCAAGAAGTACGTTGTCGCCGCGACAAAGAGGGTGTTCAAATCTTTTTCACCAATGCCTCAAACCCCGAGGGATAGCCTTATAATTTGCATTCCCGGTACTTCTATACATATGTTTTGACTTTCGAAATTTATAACAAACGTTCTTAACCTTAAAACTACAGGTATTTTGTTCCGTTCAATCTGGTGGAAAGATGGATTCCTCGAGGTTTGACACGTCGCAATTAGAGCGATTGTTTTATGCGTGTAGCGTAACTATATTCATACATATGCCGGCAGATTAAAAATTATCTCCTACAAGATTTATACGTTCGTCGCTCATCGGGGCGAGAATTAAAAAAGGACGAAGGAGGAAAGACACCCCTCATTGTTGAACTCGTAACGCTCAACGTTCAACGAGCACACACGTCGATTCGCACGCAGCCTTTTCTCGCTAAAAAAACGAATAAATACAGTGAAAGTTTGAAGAGGGAGGAGGAAGCAAAGATAAAGAGAAAATCGAAGAAAGGGCAGGATAGGATAGAAGAAAAAGGGAATATAAAATAGAGAGTCGGAGATGCAGAGAATGGATAATAATAATACATCACATTACGGAACGGCGAAAATTAAGTACGGAAGTGTATCGGAAAGAGAGGAACGTGGGGGAGAGAGAGAGAGAGAGAAGAGAACAGAGACGGAAGAAGAAGAAAAAAAATAGGTATGTACGGTTACAAGATACAAATATTTCATCGGTCGGCTCGGAGAGATTTTATTTTACTGGCGAGAGATCCAGTGGGCCGATGTCTGAAAACCGAGGCCGACTATTTGGTATGGTTACATTCTTCTTTTCTTAAATATCGTTTCCCTCGTTTTCTAGGAGACTTCGTTAAACGTGGACTATGTACGATACGACTACACCAGAGTGTTTTAATTGGACTATCTACATATGTACATATGCAATCTTTTACCCGACGGAATAGAAATCGATTATTACCCATACATACATATATATGTAATATGAATCGATTATTATGTATATTATATATATATGTATATGTATGTATAGGCAAGAATAGAAAAGAAAGTTTGTTTTATATATATATATATATAAATACATACGTATTTATATACGTTTATAAAGTTACGATAAACTTTCTTTCCTATATTGCTACATTACCGACTGAGCCCCGCAGCTCGGTTTCCGCGATCAATAAATCGAACGCGACTCTCCCCTCGGTTTCGTTCCGTCTGCTTCGACTCACGAGACTTTCGAGACTTCTTTTCCTCGTCAAAAGACAGGGCTGTAATTCCAAGAGGCACCAGTTCCATAGTCGACGTGAGATCTTCAGGGGTTGGGAGAACCTTCGAACATTTATTAGCTTCCGGGATGATTGAAATGAAAAGAACGTTCGCAAAAATATTGCATAAAATGCTATACAGACGTTGCCGAGCAATTTCTGTTTGAAAGTTTTTCTCCTTTTTTTTTTATATCTCCGAGGCTAATAAATATAGAGAACGAAAATTTTTATACGGTGGATTTTTCATCCACTTTTTTTTTTTTTTACCATCCTCTGAAAATCTCGTGTCCATGGGGAACTGGTGCTACTCGGAACAATATCCAAAGCCACCACATATCGTGGCGAGGAAAACTCTGCTTTAAATATGTAACGAACAATAAATAGAAGTACATATTCATATGGCTAACTTAATTCGTTGTCTAAAATGCGTCTTTGGGTTTATTCATCAGTGGGGCCCGATCGATTCACGCGTCGTGGCGTTCTCCTTTTCAATCTTCGATCGTGGCACGTAAGAAAGATTAGAGTCGTCCATCCTTTCCATAGGATCTCGTATTGGCAAGGCTTATTTCTTACTAGAAACGATACGTGTCTCGCATGTACGTACGCGTGGTTCTATATACAAGAGAGGTACGTAGAGATTGGTAGTAGTTTAAAAGAGAGACACAAAGAGAAAAACAAAACAGATAGGGAATGCAAGTAGGTACTTAATCCTACTGTGAGAGTGATCCCAACTGATCAACTGGCGTTATGCAGAGAAAAAAAAAAAAAAAAAAATCGACGATTCGTTTAATATCTGAAATTTTTATTGCAACGTTCACTTGCTAAGCGATCACGCGTCAACTAAGAAAGTACCAGAAGTATCCCTGTGTGATGAAACGAATTCTTTCAGTCTTTGAAACAAAAAGAAAGAACACGCCGCAGGAAATTTGAGAAACGCAATTTTCAACAAGTCATCGACAGCACATCACAGATACTTTTTCGTTTACCTCGGTGAGTAAGTACCTACTGGCACTGACTCTACGACGCGAAGATCAGTTCGAAGAACTTAAGGCACAGTCGTGAAATGTCCAAAAAAAAAAAAAAAATAAAAAAAAATTAAAAAAAAAAAAAACAGAAAGAAAGAAACAACATGTGAGTTTATTTCACTCGTGGCTGTGGTTTACTCCCAACAATTTGGCAGCATCGTCGGGCGATGCCTGCAGCACCTTGTCGATGAAACTCTTGTCTCCTATCCCCAGTAGATTTGAAATCAAGTCGTTGTCCGTGCTCTCCGCGTCCGGGTTCACATTCTGCGGGATGCTGGCCAGCTTCCCGGAGAGCGTCGTCAGTTTCTCGTACGGATTGAATCTGATTAATCCGCTCGGTGCAGCCGCGTCGCTGGCTGCGATCGGAGCGGCGGTCGGCAAGTGTGTCGCGATCCTGTCCTGAATGTGGGGATTCCCGTTGTTCGTCGTCGTTAGCAACATTTGCTGTTGTTGGCCGGACGGCTGCGACGGCGAGTTCTCCTCGTCGCCGCTCGTGCCGACGTACATTGTCGAGTCGATGGACTCGTGCTTCTTCCTGTGCCGCAGCATGCTGTGCTTCAAAGTGAATCTCCTGCAGCAAATGTCGCAGGAGAACGGCCGTTCGCCGGTGTGCGTCCTCATGTGACGTCGGAGATCCTCCGCGGACCAGAACCGCCTCATGCAGAAAGCGCAGACCACCTGTGTGCGTAGAAATAGCTGTGTTTAATCACGATATAGACACTTGGACACGGAAAAAAAGGTTCTTTTTACTCCTCGTTGTACGAGCGTCAGACAGAAATGTAAAAACGTTCTTACCTTCCTGTTGCTGTAGTCTGGGAAACGTCCTCGTTTCTCTTCACCGTCGCTGGTCTGGTGTTGCGGCGGTGGCTGTTGCTGCTCTTCCATCGCGTCAATGTCCATGTCCAACGCTCCTTTCGCCACCAGCATCTCGTACGATCTTTTGTGATTCACCTTGATGTGTTCCAGGCAATCTTGGCGGTCGGCGAAGCCACAGTCACACAGGTGGCATTTGAACGGCACGTCGCTAGGTCCGGGCGAGGTTCGCGGCGAGGATCTCCTCGACCTGGCCGTGTCGTTTGTCGACGAGGTGTTGGAGTTGGTCTTGGGAAGCGTTGCCACGGATGAAGGCTCTATGCCCTCGGATACGCTCGATGATTGGCTGTCGTAGTCGGTTTGCTCGTTGTTCTGCTTCGGGCACTCCGGCGGGCTGTTCTGTGGCTCGCTGGACGGTGTGTCCGATCGCGACTTCAACTTCCGACCGTGCTTCGTAGAACGATGTTTCTTCAGGTTGCCCAGCGTCGAGAATGTCGAGCTGGGACACTGATTGCACTTGTACGGTCTTTCCGGTACGTTCCTCGTGGAGAACGAGTTGTTGCTATTGACGACCGGTTGGGAGTCCGGGGAAGAGGAGTTTCTCGCTCTGTGCACTTTGTTTGGGTTTGTCTTGTGCTTCCTCAGCAGGTGACGGTCGCAGTTCGACTTTGTGGTGAACAGAAGCGAGCAATGAGTGCACTGGTAGGGCTTTTGTCCTGTATGGGTGAGAATGTGTCTCCTAAGAGACGACGTCCAGGGAAACGGGCGCTGACAGTACGGGCAGATCACTTTGTTCGGCGCCATCGAGTATGCCGATTTCTTTTTCTTTTTTTTTTTTTTTTTTTTCGACGGCGCGGTCACGGAGCTGACTGAGTTCACCGAGTCAGACTTTTCGTCGCTGCCTGAATTGTGGCACTCGCTGTTGGACGCCACCAGGCCTTCCTCGTCGCTCAGGTATTGCGACTGAAACTCCGGATACTGTTGGCACGCGTTGTCCAATAACTCTGAAACGCTAGCCAGGTCAGTGTTTTCGTCTTCCTTTTTCTCGCTCTTCACCGCCACCGGTCTCGTCCTGTACGCTTTGCTAGGACTCTTGTCGGCCGATCTGTCGTGATCTGCCTCGGCAGGGCTCTCCTCCTTCGTCTCTACTTTCACGTTCGCTTCTTTACCGTCAGCCTCGTTCGAGTCGGTTCTCGACGAATCCCTCGCCGGAGTCTCTTTCGCGGACTCTCCACCTTCCAACTGCCCCCTCAACAGACTTTTCTCCTTCTGATCCTGAGACTCTTGACAATCCTTCTCTTGCGGGCCTTCGTCTATCACCAACTCTTCCTCGGAGTCGTTGTCCTCGATCTTGTTCGCCCTCAGCTTCTGCGTCAGGATCGCGTATTTCACCTGGTCGGAGATGGAGTGCCTCGCGAATTCTGCCGACTCTTCGCTCTTCGGCAGAATGTTGGCGTACGATTGGGGAACCTGAGGAGCCGGCTGTCCAAGATTTTGCAGCAACGTGGGGTGACTGGCAGGAGGTCTTCCTCTCGTGGAGTGGCCACCCCTGGGTCTTTGGCTCCAGTGTTGCGGATGTTGTTGCTTGATGTGTCTCTCCATGTTGCTTCTCAGCGTGAACCTCGCCGAGCAATGCTCGCAAGAGAAAGGCCTCTCGGTCCTGTATCTTCGTTGCTTCTGCTTAGGCATCAGCACCCCGTTCTTGATCACCATTTTCACCGAGTTCGACGACGACATGCTGTCCGGCTTGTCGCGGCTCGTCACTCCCTTGTTCACCATCTTGGAAGATATCAGCTTCGCGTATTCGCTCTGCTCGGCTGACTGAGGATTCATGTCTCTGTTCTGTGTGTATGCGCTGAAGCCAGCGCTGCTGGTCGACGGCTCCACCAAAGTGCCACCGCTGGTCAGTTGCAGACCTCTGACCAAGTCTTTCTCCAACCTGTCCTTCACAGCGAAGTCCTGGCCGAATATGTGGGGATTGAACATGTACGGCGGCAGAATTCCAGCGCCGACGCCGGTCTGGTACGTTTGGCTTAAGTTTCTGTAAATGGCGTTGGCGTACAGAGTTTCGAGCGAGGTCGGCTGAGAGCTGCTGTGGCCAGCCTTCAGGAATGCCTCCGTGAGGAACAAGTGGTTGTACAGATCCTTCTGGCTTTTACCGTATTGCTCGTGGGACACGGCAGAGTTGTTCTCGTCCTTGTTCCTCGACTTCTTGCTGAGATCCAGCACGTCCATCGACAGGTCGAGCGGCCCGTCCTCGCCGGACGTCTCGGACAGGTTCAGAACTTTCTTCAAGTTTATTGGACTAGATTGTACTCTTTGGTGCGGTTCTGACTTCGTTTCGGTGACTAGAGACACGCTACCTTCGGACGATCTCGATTCCAGGTCGTCGTCCAGCTTCGAATAGTCCGACTTGGCATCCTGGCCGGGCTTTCCGTCGTTGCCGCGCGCTTGGATCATCGCCATGGGCTGGCCGAGCCTCGTGAACGCCTCGCTCTTGTCGCAGTGGTTCATCACACCGTGGTGTGCCGCCCCCATCGCGGCGTTGTGCAGTTTCGCTTCTTCTATTATCCTAATTTCTCCTCTGATCGGTGGAGGATAGTGCACCTGCGCCTGGTGATGAAGGTGATCGCCTCGCTCGGTCGGGAAAACCAAGCTCTTCCTCACCTCGTCCTTCGTCACTCTCGGCGAGGTTCGTTCCACGTTCTCGTTCGTCGAGTCCTCGTTCGGGTGGTAGATGAGGACGCTCTTGATGTCCTCTCTGGTCAGTTTCCCGTGGCGGTTGCGCACGTGGCGTTCGCAGTTCGCCTTGGTGGTGAATGCGTAGTTGCAGAGGGAGCATTCGTACGGTCTGTCGCCGTTGTGGGATCTCAGGTGTCTCACCAGCGTTGCCTTGTCGGTGCTGGTGTAGGGACACATGTTGCACGGGTATGGCATGCCTGGTCCAACGCCCATGTGAGCTCTGTTGTGACCCTTCAACGCCCTCAGGTTTGGGAATATCGCGGAGCATAGCCTGCAAGGGAACTCCCCCTTCAGTTTCATCCTTCGGAATTCAGCGGCGAACGCATCCTGCGCCTCTTCCTCGTGATACTCCGAGGAGTACGTGCCGGACGAGCCCGATGAGCTGGCGCCTGGATTGAACTTGACATTCTCGGGTGTGCTCGCGTCCGATCGTGGGAAATTCTGCAGTATCGGGCCAGACGTGACGCTAATGATGCTCTGTATGTCGGCCAGATCTTTCCCTTCTTTCGCCTCCGTCAGCGCTGCCTTGTTCTGCAAGTCCAGGCCAGCGAAGAAGTCGTCCCTCCTCGACTGGCCGTCGTTCGTTCGGCTCTGAGAGTTGGTGATGCCGCAGTCGGTCTCGTGAGCGTCCAACGCCGATCTACAGGGGAACGCTCGCAGACACTTGGAGCACTGGAACTTGGCCACCTCGCCGGAGGCCGGCCGATGAAGAGACTGCTCGCACACGGCCCTGGCGATCGCTGGAAATTTGCCCGACGAGAAGTCGACGAACGTCAAATCGTTGAAACCGACCACGGAGTTTCGCAGATTCCTCGCCGTGTTCCCCACCGGGTGTTCCGCGAAGTGTATCATGAACCGATGGAGATTCAGCACCCGGTGGTTTTTGAACGACAGGTTGCAACTGTCGCATTTCGCGGGGAACTCCGGATGGTTTCGTTCCAGATGCGCCTCCAAGAGTGCGCTACTGCCAAAGTCCTGTCGGCCGCACACCGGACAGGTGCAGATGTTCTGGCCGTCGTCCGGCCTTGGCTTCATTTCCGTCCTCGAGCTGTTCAGAAGGATCTTGTGCCTCTTGTGCGTCTCGTTGTCGCCCGAGTACTTCCTCTTCGCTGGCAACGACAACGACAGCTCTTCCTCCTCCTCCTCCTGATCCATCTCCTCCTCATCTCGCCGATCGACGTAGTCCGGCGAGTTCCTCTTGGTGATCTCGTTGTTGTTGTACTCCTCGAGATGTCGCCTCTTGGATTTCTCCGAGTCGCTGCTGTTACTGCCGCTGGTACTTGCCTCGGAATCCGTGCAGCTGTGCGGCGACACGCCTCTGTGCGCTGTTTTCAGGTGCCTGTTCATGTTCCCGTTCGTGGTGAACGCCATCTCGCAGTACTTGCACTTGTACGGCCGGGCACCTGCGTGCATCGACAAGTGCCTGTTGAGGGAACTGGAAGAGCTGAACATCCTGTTGCACATGTTGCAGCAGTACTCGTCCTCGCCGCTGCAGTCCGTGCTGCGGGACGAGTTGTGGCCGTGTATATGGTTCGTCAGGTCGCCGGAGGTGGGCAACACGGCCGAACAGGCCGGGCACGAGTGCGCGCTCTCCGGTAATTCAACCTGCGGGCAAAAATCGGGCAGGCTGTTAGATTAGATCGGGTCTCTGGCATCTCTTTGTTTTGTTAGGGCTGTAAGAAAATGGGGGTGCAACTAATGGTGCCCGTATAGAGGTGTATGAAACGAGGCAAGAGAAAAAAAACTTGAACATATACGTCTTATTTTCTAATAATTTCCACTAGTCTGTCCTTTCACTTGCCTTTGCAATAAATTTCTGAAGTTGCAAAGAGACTTTATGGACACCCTCAACCGTGTTACAAAGAGCCAATAGTTACGTAGTATTAAAACACAACAAATTTTTCAAATTTAATTTGATTAACATGGCGACATATTCTACTGTTATTAGTAGAAATGTTATGCTGATGTTAGTTACTTGGAACAAAGTTCTGAAATGGTAAAGAAAAAGAGAAAGAACGCATGCGGTTCTGAGAATTTGCCCATCCCAGTAATAGAGGCAATTATGATAAAGTAATGGTAAATTATACAGAGTATAATATTATATGGAATATAATAGAATAAATGTAGAATGAGATACAAAGATAGATATAAAGATAATTATCAGATGTTGTTGATTCTGAAGTTCATAATCAATGATTATACGAAATAAAAAAGATTAAAGACAACAGAAGACAAGAGAGATCATCGAATGTAATTGCCAATGACTCCAAGCTTTATTAAATATCTAATCTGTCTTTGGAAAGTAGATCATTTAAAAAGAAAAAAAAACATGATCTACTCTCGGAAATTCTGGTAGATGGAAAGGAAAAAAGAGATGGATACAATTTGATTAGAAATAAAAATGTTCAACTTACACTGGATGGGGACGAGGCAGCATCGGCTTGCGCTTCACTCTCAGATCTTTGCTCGGAGCCACTTTTGACAGTAACTGAAAAAGCAAGAGAAAAAAAAAAAAAAAACACATCTGATTAATACACAGAAATTCTACTTTTGAAGTAACAAAAGTTATTATCTCTACTTTAAATTCTACTTTAAAAATATTATTTTAACTACGTTACTTCGATGCACGCGGATTTATCAAGCGACAATTGTTTCTCCTCGCAAAAACAAACTGAATAACAATTTTCATTCACTTGATAAAAAATTCTATCCTTCACCTTTTCTTCAATGTCAATACCTCTCTCTATTATTACTTTTAACTCATATTATGTTGCGCATTATCGTTTCACACTGCATATTAATTGTATACATTATTCATTGGTATGTACTTCAATGAAAAAAAGAAAAAAAGAAGAAAAAGAAAAATTAATTAATGGCGATTTCACTCGTATCGATAATAGGTTATTGTTTGTAAATTATTGGAATTTACGATCTCGTCGCAGAAATAGACGCGGACCGCGCGTGTCTTCCGGAAGACACTGATAGAACGACCGCAAAGAGAACGCCTCGAAGCTGGTACAATGACACTTTTTATCAACGACACGAACCACAATCGTCTTTATTTATCAAGTAGTTTCGATCCTGAAGGCTACTGTTCCGAGCACACTTCCGAGAACGATATCATTTTGAAAAATAGCCCGATCTAGTGTCGTTACCTTTGTCACCGAAGTGCACGTTACTCTCCATTCTCTTCTGTTTCAAATTTAGATCACCGAACCAGGGAAAGTACCGAATATAAATAATAATTTATAGCAAGGAAGAAAGGAGACAGAGCACCGTAGAAAATTAAACAGTCGAACTTCGACTTTCCTTCGTAATAAAAAATTACACAACGCACGCGTTTTCCTTAGTAACGAAAAATTACACACTTTTCGAAGAGAATTATACTGCAACGTCCATGCGAAATTCGATAGTTTGTCTTATTGACGACAAAAAAAAGGTTATCAACTGTGGGAGAAGAAGGTATTTACTCTCATTTACTCCGATTTCTTGCGTAAAACTACCGACATACGGTTTCACTCATTTAAGAGGATTTTTTGTTCCAGAATTGCAACATTTCTTCAGTTTTAAGTATGTTTTAAATATGATCCAGGAGAAACAAATAATAAATTTACAATTGTAATAATAATAATAATAATAATAATTTCTATCCGGTCACATCGTACCGACGAGCTCAAAAAAGAAAGCGACGAATTTATTCTGCACGGGTCTGGTCACTCGTTATGGTCCGCAATCAGTTGCCAGCGCAAATGGTTGACGAAGCTCGACTTTTTATTATTAATAACGCGATGAAATTTTGCTTCAGTGAAAGAATTTAATCAACGATTGAAAATGTGCAAACAACGTGTATTTATAATAATCTAATAATAATAGTCTAATCTGATCGCGGAATAAATATCGAAGGGCGTGAAATAATCGAACGGCGAACGCGGAAAAAATCTCCTTCGACGCGTGTGCAGATGAAGCGCCGGTCGCTCGAGAGCTTTTCGATAAGAAAAAAAAATTCGGAAAGAAAGACGCGAACGAGCGCGTGATCTTGCACGATCGGCTTTATCACCGCTCGAGCGTGTTTTTTTTCCAACCAGATTAAGTGGCATTGGCAGTTTTCACGGCGAGCAATAGCAGGAAATAGACGGAACATCTTTGCTCCATTATCGATCCGCTGATTAAATCGAAGCTCATCGAGGGACGGAAAAAAATTTCGCAACGGAAGGGAATGACTTTGCGATTATGTTCTTTCGTTAAATGGAAGATTTCTTCGTGTGAAGAAAAATTAAGAAAAAGAGAGTAAAAAGAGTTGGACTTACATAGCGGATAAGTAAACTATACAAGTAAACAAATAAATAAATATATATATATATATATATACGAACAAGTACAAATGAAATAAATAAATAATATAATGAAATAAATAAATGAAATAAATAAATGAAATAAATAAATAATATAATGAAATAAATAAATGAAAAAAATAAATAATATAATGAAATAAATAAATGAAATAAATAATTGAAAAAAATAAATAATATAATGAAATAAATAAATGAAATAAATAAATGAAATAAATAAATAATATAATAAAATAAATAAATGAAATAAATAAATGAAATAAATAAATGAAATAAATAAATAAATAAATATAGTTATAAATATAAAAGTATAAACTAGTTCAGAAGTATAATTCATGAAAAAACATGAATTTATATAAATCACTACAATCTCTAAATTACACATTAATAGAAATACGAATCTACTACTATCTACTTTCCTTTATCAATACTTAAAAAATATTCTATAACAAATATATATATATATATATTGAGATAGTATGTGTCACATTTAATATATTTAATACTATTTAATATATATTAAAATATAATACTATTATTATATATGTATAAAATTAATAATAATATAATATAATATTATTAATATTATATATATATATATATATATTAAAATATAATACTATTTAGTACATATAATAATATAATATATTTAATACCATTTAATATATAAAAACGTGACAAATACTACCTTAATGAAAATATATGAAACGTCTGCTCAAAAACGTCTCGTTTCAGGTCATTTGCGGACGTTTTAAAAGAATTTAAACGGAGGAATCGGTGGGGCAATGTTTGGCGTCTCGGTTTGAAGATTCGGCTGGACGTGAGGAGAACAGGTGCGATTAAAGCTGGCCTCACACATGTGGCATTCTGCTGACAAAACGCGTCGACCAGGTGACTCGATTCATGCGCGTAAATCACGCGGACGAAACGGGTTTTTTTTTCTTTCTTTCTTCCTTTCTTTCTTTCTTTTTACGGGCCGTTTAAACTCCGCCACGACTTAGCTTGCGGTCTGCGTCTGCACGTTTAACGGACAGGTTCGCGCTATAATAAATTCGACGCGAATGATCTACGTGCACGACCACACCTCGAGACTTGTATTTTTTTTTTTTTTTTGTTAAAAACGAGTCACGTGCCTCTTTTTTCGGAACAACGTCGAGGGGGAGCAATTGACGAAATAACGCGAACAAGATACGTATATATATAAATAATAAAATAAAGTTTATATATATAATTTTTGCACAAAGTTTATATATATATATATATATATATATATATATATATATTTAAACTTCATAAATTTTGAACTTCACCGAAGAAATTTACTAATTTTCAATAATAATTTTTGCACAAAGTTTATATATATCTATATATATATATATTTAAACTTCATAAATTTTGAACTTCACCGAAGAAATTTACTAATTTCCAATAATAATTTTTGCACAAAGTTTATATATATATATATATATCTACTAGAAGAAATCTACTAATTTCCAATAATAATTTTTGCACAAAATTTATATATATATTATATTATTTATAATTTATAGATTTACATATATATATAAACTTTGTGCAAAGATTACTAGTGGAAACTAGTAGATTTCTTCGGTGAAAGTTCAAAATTTATTTAACTTGAAATAAAGGTACAAGGTGTATTGTATCATTTCGTGTTGAAAATTGCAAACTTTCTCATCTCATCTTCGTTCATCTTTCTGACAATCAGTTCGAAGCGAGCTATATTGCGATATTTTTCGAAAACGATCGATTGGATGCGAGACGACGTATCATCCCAGATAATGTTTAAAAAACAAAATTTCTCGAAATCCAGATAAGCAGCTCTGCCTCTTGCGCAACCGATAAGTAGCGTTCTTTTTCCTTTTCTTTTTTCTTTTTTTTTTCAATCCGGCTGCTAGATAAATGTTTATTTACTCTGCAATGCGAAATTATCAAGCGCGGAACTTTTGCTAGCCTGGTGTTGTCCTTCGAACCGCCATTAAGTAAGAACTTGAAGATTATCTTCGTTCGAATTTGAAGAAATTCTCGGATTCGTGCATGTGAATAAATTGTGACCAATAAATTTTCATCTGGATATATATTATTTAATAACGAGCGTTCAAATTCAGATAAAGTGCTCAAAAGCTCATCTAATTTATGCTTCTACACGCGAAATTCAGATTCGATTCGGATCAATGAAAATATCCAAGCATCTGCGCGACTAGATACTTCTTTAATTTGAAAAATTTGCTCATCCTCGAACATTTTGTAGAAGATTTTAAATGTCCGAAATTCGACATGTACACAGCTTAAGGCGTTCGAATTGCGTTCAAATTGAAAAAAATTTTTTTAAGCGCCGCGATGCTGCGTGTTGGAAATTGTAAAGTCACAAAACAGTTCGTCCAGTGTGGGATATATCGGTCGTCGTATGAAATCGCGGAGTAGCTGAGTTCACTCTGGTGAAATTCGGAACAACAGATGCCTCTGTCTCTTGACAAGTGGAAATCCCAGGCTGCTTTCCATTTCTAACGATCACCGATCGTGGCTGCGAGACCAATGGTTACGGGGCTCTGTCAACCACGAAAACCGATTTCTATTTTTCCCTCCGAATCGCTCGACTTGCAGCGAACCGATCGAGGCTCATGACACTTTCGTTCGTGTCCAACATTCGCAATGCAATTTTTCAACAATAAAATAGTCCCTCACTTCTCGTTCACTTCTAACAGAAATTACAACTGAAAGGAACAATAGTATCCAAGTTTAGTTTAAAATTGTCATTTAAATTTTTAATTTCAGTATAGACGAAGAATAATTGTATAATAATGAAATAAATATTTTTCATTGAATTATAGCAGGATAATTTAAAATATTCGATAAAAAAGAATCTGCTCGTTACAACGAGTATTAATATTTTTAGATATTATTAAATTTTAGGTAATAGTAATATTTATAATAGTTTTAGGTAATAGTAATATTTACGAATATTAATATTTTAAAATATTATTAAATTTTAGGTAATAGTAACATTTACAATAATAGTTTTAGGTAATAGTAATATTTATGAATATTAATATTTTTAAATATTATTTACGAATATTAATATTTTTAAATATTATTATTTTTAGGTAATAGTAATATTTAC